GTCCGGGTGGTGGAGACGAGGTCGCCGGATGGTGAGGACGGCGTTCGTCTCCACCATCCGGACCCGTCCGTCTCCACCACCCGGACCCGTCCGTCTCCACCACCCGGACCCGTCCCCACCACCCGGACCCGTCTCCACCACCCGGACCCGTCTCCACCATCCGGACCCGTCTCCACCACCCGGACCCGTCTCCACCATCCGGACCCGTCTCCACCATCCGGACCCGTCCGTCTCCACCATCCGGACCCGTCCGTCTCCACCACCCGGACCCGTCCCCACCACCCGGACCCGTCTCCACCACCCGGACCCGTCCCCACCACCCGGACCCGTCCCCACCACCCGGACCCGTCTCCACCATCCGGACCCGTCCCCACCACCCGGACCCGTCTCCACCATTCGGACCCGTCCGTCTCCACCATCCGGACCCGTCCCCACCATCCGGACCCGTCTCCACCATCCGGACCCGTCCGTCTCCACCACCGGCACCGGTCCCCACCACCCGGACCCGTCCCCACCATCCGGACCCGTCCCCACCACCCGGACCCGTCCCCACCACCCCCCTCACACACACGGGGGCAGAACGGTCCTTACCCGCAAACCGCACCCTGCAGAGGGGGCGCAGCCATCACCACGGCCGAGGGCCCACCAGACCCTGCAGGGACCACATCCGCCAGCGGCTGCCGGCCGTCCTGAACCACCCAGACCCCCTCGCGGATGGCTCCAGGGCCCCACTCTTCCAGGCTAAACCACGCCCTGTTCCTTTGATGCTGGCGTTTTTAGCGCCATGGCAGCCATAACAGGGGTGGCCTCAGGGTGCGGATGGCGTGATCATGGCAATGTGGCCACAAGAGTAGGGGCTGGCCTGGGGTGGTCTCTCCCCGGCGTGGGAACGATGTCATCCCCACAGAGACGGCAGGCGGCACGCTCAGTGCTCACTGGAGGGAGCTGGCCTCCTTCCCTCTGAAGGAAAGGCCCGAAACAGGAGGAGCCCCGGATGCCGGCCGTCCCTCGCGCCCCTCAGCGCCCACAGGTACCCGGATGCCGGCCGTCCCTCACCTGGGGTCCATGCTCCAAATGCCTCCTGGAGGGAAGGTGCTGTGTTCTACTCATGCATTTTGCTTCCCAGCTGCGAAACACATGGGAACGGGGAGAAGTGGGGGACGGGGGTGACGGGGAGGCCGGGCGCGGTAGGAGTAGGGGCCAGGCACGGGAGAATGGGGACGCTGGGCACGGGAGGCCGGGTGCGGGAGGACGGCGACGCAGGGCGCGGGAGGACGGGGACGTAGGGCGCAGGAAGATAGGGAGGACGGGGACGTAGGGCGCAGGACGGGGAGGCCAAATGCGGGAGGATGGGGAGGCCGTGCGCGGGAGGACGGGGACACAGGGTGCGGGAGGACGGAGACGCAGGGTGCGGCAGGAGTAGGGGGCCGGGCGCGGGAGAATGGGGACGCCGGGCACGGGAGACCGGGTGCGGGAGGACGGCGACGCAGGGCGCAGGACGGGGAGGCCAGGTGCGGGAGGACGGGGACGCAGGGTGCGGCAGGAGTAGGGGGCCGGGCGCGGGAGAATGGGGACGCTGGGCACGGGAGGCCGGGTGCGGGAGGACGGCGACGCAGGGCGCGGGAGGACGGGGACGTAGGGCGCAGGAAGATAGGGAGGACGGGGACGTAGGGCGCAGGACGGGGAGGCCAAATGCGGGAGGATGGGGAGGCCGTGCGCGGGAGGACGGGGACACAGGGTGCGGGAGGATGAGGACGTAGGGTGCGGGAGGGCGGGGACGCAGGGTGCGGGAGGAGTAGGGGGCCGGGCGCGGGAGAATGGGGACGCTGGGCACGGGAGGCCGGGTGCGGGAGGACGGCGACGCAGGGCGCGGGAGGACGGGGACGTAGGGCGCAGGAAGATAGGGAGGACGGGGACGTAGGGCGTGGGAGGGCGGAGAGGCTGGGCACGGGAGGACGGGGACGCAGGGCGCAGGACGGGGAGGCCAGGTGCGGGAGGACGGGGACGCAGGGTGCGGGAGGAGTAGGGGGCCGGGCGCGGGAGAATGGGGACGCCGGGCACGGGAGGATGGGGAGGATGAGGACGTAGGGTGCGGGAGGGCGGGGACGCAGGGTGCGGGAGGAGTAGGGGGCCGGGCGCGGGAGAATGGGGACGCTGGGCACGGGAGACCGGGTGCGGGAGGACGGCGACGCAGGGCGCAGGACGGGGAGGCCAAATGCGGGAGGATGGGGAGGCCGTGCGCGGGAGGACGGGGACACAGGGTGCGGGAGGACGGGGACACAGGGTGCGGGAGGACGAGGACACCGGGTGCGGGCGCACAGTGCTCTCCTGACCGCGAGAGCTGACAGCCACCTCCCCAGGCCCCCCGCTACCCTCCAGGGCTCCGCTGCACTGCAGGAGACAGCGGGCTTTGATTTTATGGACAAGCTTTTTGAGCTGTAGTGGACAGACGATTCACAATGAAGAGAACAGCATTTCTCAAATACAGGAAACTCCTGAGTCAGTGGTTCCCAGTGGCTCTGACCAGCCACCTGCAGCGCCCACCACCCACGGCCTCGCCCCCGCGCCCCCAGGCCAGTGCAATGAGCCTCGTTTCTGAACAGCGGGAAAGGGGCTGTGTCGAAGATGTGCTAAAATAACCCAACGGCAGTGAGTGCACGTCTGCGGTTCCGAGGAGCTTCCACGGCAACTGAGAGCTTTCTATTCTCATTTGTTTTATAATTATGCACAAATTCTATTTTTATCCAATTTGTGGTCCACCAACTGAAAGAGAAAACAAACCCCCAAAACCCCCTCTTTTTAGCTGCTTTTACCTCACACTTGCATAGACATAAATGCCACAGATACATCAGAAAACTCTTTAAATTACTAATTTCTCACAATGAGATATGCTGATAGCGCCTGACGTTTTCCATGCAGGGGACTGTTTTCTCCTGCGTTTCAACGGAAAGGTCTCCTTCTGTGGAAACACAAGGCCAGCCTCTCCCATTCTGCTGCTGCTCACACATGGGTCACTTGATTTGGAATAATTTTTGAGGGTACATTTTAAAGATATTTTAAATTACTGTTTCAAGTTTCCTGAGTCCTCCAGAACACCTCGACCCTCTCAGTCACATCTGTATTGATAGATTTCAGCACCCTAAGCCCAAGACACCCAGACAGTAGAACAGAGATGGGATTCCACAAGATTCCAGAAGATGCAGGGAGGAGTGCCCAGCACTGAGCTGTGTCCACGGAGACAGGTGGCACCAGGCACCGGCGCTACTCACAGGTAGGTGAAAATACATCCATTAAAACCCAGGGCTGCCTGTAGTCCCAGCTACTCGGGAGGCTGAAGCAGGAGAATCGCTTGAACCCAGGAGGCAGAGGCCGCAGTGAGCTGAGATCGCACCACTGCACTCCAGCCTGGGTGAGAGCGAGACTCCGTCTCAAAAAAAAACAAAAACAAAAAACCAAAACAGACAAAAACCTCAGAGCTCTCTCCACACTGTTGGTCCCACTTTACCCTCCAAATAACAGCCCTGATTCCTACAACTGCCCCTCATCTGGACATGGTGAAAAGGGCGATGGCCGGTGACCCTCACCGATACAATTCACAGCAAATGGGGTGGACGAGGCCATCATTTCTCTATTGCCTTATTTCCACTCTTTCTTTCACTGCCTCATTTCCTGTCCCTTCTAATATCCTTTCCACTGAGCAATAACAGGCTTTCGGTCAGTGAAAACCGAGGCAGGGACGGGGAGGTACAGGCCTGCAGGGACGAAGCATGGCGCAGCGCTGTCTGACCTTTCCCACCTGGGAGGGTGGAGACTTTAAATGTCAAACTGGCCGCTGTGCACTCAGGTGTCTCCCGCATTTCCTTGCTTCAAGCACCGACAAGGTAGGTACTAATTGGCATCAAGCACACAGGCCACAAACATCACGTTAACAGCATCTGCAAGTGCTGGTGGAAACGCCTCGCCCAGCACCCTGCCTGCTAATGCCCTGCTGCCGGCTGTTGCGCTGGCAAACAGCCATTTGTCCCTGTGGCCGCCTTCCCTCCACTATTTATCTAAATGGAAAAAAATAAAAACACGGGCAGCCTGCTGAGCACCCCTTCCGGCTTCCATCATTTCCTAAGTAACGGGGCTGGGGCACCCGGTTTTCTGCTGTTGGTGTGTGCTGGGAAAACGTCCTCTGCGTTGCTGCATGGCCTGGAGCCCTGGGGCCGGACACCCTTGCTGCTCTGTGGCTGCCAAAGCAGTGGACCCAGGGCCTGGGGCTGATGAGGTAACAGGTGAGACCGAAGAAAATGCCAACACCCATGGCTACCCGGGACCCACATCAACACCTGAGGTGCAGAGGGGGGCATGGCTCTGTGTGCAGACGCTGCCCATCGCCGGCGCGGTCACTACACACCTCCCTGGACAGCCTAACTCTATGTGGCTTTCCCCCAAGGTGAGAGCAAGGTGAGGAAGCCACACAGAGCCCAGGGAGACAGGCCTACCCCGGCAGGGACACGGCTGCCAGCCCCAGGCCGACTCTGAAAGCCACTCCTCCTCTCCTCGGGAAGCACCTTGAGCCCTGGTGCCCCCAGCACCCAAGCCCAGAGTGTGGGATTCCGCAGGGCTGGTGGGCCACAGAACCTGCATTTCTGAGGGCCCCCCACCAGGCGAGGCTGGTGCTGCTGGTGAGAATCCCAGCAGTTCCGAGGCTTTAGAGAGGGGAGAATCAACCCCTTGAAACATCCACACCACAGGCAGCATCCGTGGACACGAGAGCTGCTTTGGGCAAATCTGAAAACAAAGAGGGAGGGTCTGCACGTGTGGAAGCAGGAGGTGCTGTGCCACGCTCCCATTCCAGCTCAGGGGCGGTGAGCAGCTGCCCAGGACTAACCACGACATAGCATTCAGCTGGCCTGGCTGGGAGAGTCTGTGGTTTCAGCACAGTTAGCTGTGACTCTAAAGTTACTTTTGGACCAAAACAGCAAGTGGCGTGCGAGTCTGGCCTCGGTGCCTACCTGCACGATGGGGTGTCCTCCAGCCGACGCCTTCACGGCCCCCCGGCTGCCCTCCGTCTCGTAGTGGGCTCGGTGGTGGGACTTGGGCTGCACCTCAATCCGAAGCTCGTACGGGCCCGAGTGGGATGGCAGCTGCCAGTCCAGGGCGGGCAGGGTTGGGCTGGAAGGGAACAGAGCAGAGGAGGCGTTTAGCGCCACACGGACCTCACCCGGGCCACACGTGCCGCGCTCAGCCATCACCATCTTGGGTGGACACTTCCTCAGTGAGCGCACATTCTACACGGAGATGGACAAGCCCGTGTCGACGTGATGCTTACTCATCGTGACCCGTGGCCATGGCCCGGCCAGTTCTCTAAGACGGAAACATTTTCCAAGCACAACCTTAACACACTTCTCTTCCTTCGTGACAGGCTTCTATCAGTTACTTAACCCTCCAGTAAGACAGGTTTTAGAACTCATTGAAAATCTTTTTTAAAATCTAAGAGGTCCAAGCTGTGGTCTAAGAACAAGGAAGCTCAAACCTCTCCTTGCTATGAACCAGCTGTGCGGCTGCTGTTGGACAGGTGACTAACTGGGCCCTTTATAAAATGGTGGTTTGGAAGACGTGGTGTGTGAAAGACCACCAGCCCCCAGATTCCATGATTGCTGCAAGATGAACAGAAGGGCCTGACTGAGGGCCAGGAGGAGGAACCGGGCATCCATGGAGGGCAGTGAGAGAAAACGCAGCAGGGCGGGGTGCGACAGTGAGGGCTTTGGGAGCCTGCTGGTTACTGTGCACAGAGGACACGCGCCGCATGACGCGGCGGGTGACAGGTGCCGGGTCTGTCCTCAGAGCCCATGGCTCAGCTGGGGGCTCCACGGCCCCTGTCCTTTCAGGAGATGAATGTTTGGTGTGAAAGGCTAAGGTGAGGTCCTGCCTGTGACCTCGGCCTGAGGGTCTTCCCAACTGTGTTCTGTAGGAGGCCCAGGTGGACTGTCTCAGCATTCCTGGGGGCCACACCGTGCACCCAAGGGTTCTCGCATCTAGGGAGTGGCCTGCCCCCACGCAGCACCATCCACGCAGGCACCACCTTCCACCCCATGCAAGAGGCCGGCGCTTCTGCCATCAGAGTCCGTTTCTGGGAGGCCCAAGGCTCTGTGGCCACTGCAGCCCTGGCCCAGCCTCCTCTTCCACTCAGTCTGTCTCCTCAGCACTGCCTGCTGCAGGGGCCAAGGCAGGTGGAGGATGCGGTGGGACCCTCCCTGGACCCTGGACTGTTGAGCACTGCTCAACAGATCAGGTACAACACCCTGCGTGGGCAGAGCCAGCCCAGGGCCCAATGACCGTCCTCACCGCTATGTGGGCAGAGACCCAGGGCCCGCCGACCGTCCTCACCACCGTGTCGGCAGAGCCAGCCCAGGGCCCAACGACTGTCCTCACCGCTATGTGGGCAGAGACCCAGGGCCCGCCGACCGCATTGTGGGCTGGGGCCCCTGAGGTCACCCTCCACACAGGGCCTGTGACTCCCCCATCTTCAGAACCAGCCCCTCTGCCAGGACTCAATTATCGCCTAGAGCTGCTGACCGTCATTCTATGTCCGTTTTAAGTACAAGCCACAGAGACATGGGACATGCAGGCAGCTTCTTGGGAAGGGCAGGTTCCGTGCGATGCAGGCTCAGAGCAGGGGCATCTGTGAGTTCAAGGAAATTGCCTCCCGAGCCCCCAGAAGGCCCCCACACCTCAGGACACACTGTGAACCCAAAGTGACCTACAAACAAAACAAGGGCAGGACACGGTGGCTCACGCCTGTAACCCCAGCACTTTGGGAGGTCGAGGTGGTGGGATCACGAGGTCAGAAATTGAGACCATCCTGGCCAACATGGTGAAACCCCATCTCTGCTAAAAATACAAAAATTAGCCAGGCATGGTGGCGGGTGCCTGTAGTCCCAGCTGCTTGGAGGCTGAGGCAGGAGAATTGCTTGAACCGAAGAGGCAGAGGTTGCAGTGAGCCGAGATCGCGCCACTGCACTCCAGCCTGGGCGACAGAGAGAGACTCCCTCTAAAAACAACAGCAGCAGCAGCAGCAGCAGCAGCAAAAACCAAGGCCAGTCGCAGTGGCTCACGCCTGTAATCCCAAAACTTTGGGAGGCCAAGGGGGACGGATCACTTGAGCTCAGGAGTTCAAGACCAGCGTGGGCAACATGGCGAGACCCCATCTCTACAAAACGAACAAAAAATAAAAACATGAGCAGGATATGGTGCACATCTGTGGTCCCAGCCACACAGGAGGCTGAGCGGGGAGGATCCCAGCCACACAGGAGGCTGAGCGGGGAGGACTGCCTGAGCTGGGGGAGGTTGAGATGGCGGTGAGCCAAGATCACATGGGCTTCAGCCTGGGCAACAGGGCAAGACTCTGACTCAAAACAAACAAAATAAAAACAATGGGCAGAAAAGACTGCTTTAAAGAGAAAAGCCCAGGAGGCTGCTTGAATGGAATCAAACACATAATTTTAAAAAATACGAACACCTAAAATGTTCCTTAACAAGACTACATATTTTGTGACATTGGAAGCTTCATAGTAATTTGAAAACTTAGAAATAGATTTATACAAAGATGCACCTGGCAGGCTCACCACCCACCTCCGCTCTGTGGGGTTTTGGGCTCTGCGGGTGCCCAGTGGACCCCGACAGCCACGACTGCTTCCCTGACAGAGGAATCTCCAAGACGCAGCTTCGCGGGCTGCACTGTCCGAGCTCTTTCCCACGGGAGGTGATCAGCACGGACGCCCAGCATCCGCTAACGCTGCCAGGTGGAAGGAAAGGCAGCTGGACCCAGGGCTCCGCACAGGAAGGACAAGAACCTCTAGAGAAAGGCTTCCCTGCACAGAGCTCGGGGCCAGCTGTGAGTCTCTGGGGAAGGGAGAGGGGGCAGCTGCAGGGCTGGGCAATGAAGGGCCACTCTGCAGCGGCCACACCCACTCCTGGACAGGCAGGCACCAAACAAAGTCGTGGATGGTGCGAGGCGGCGCCTGTCTCAGATGCCTTGTACCTATCTTTTTCTATGAATTGAAAAAGCAACAAATAAAACGCAAAATTCACAGCCGGGTGCGGTGACTCACGCCTGTAATCCCAGCACTTTGGGAGGCCGAGGCAGACAGATCACCTGAGGTCAGGAGATCAAGACCATCCTGGCCAACATGGTGAAACCCCGTCTCCACTAAAAATATAAAAATTAACTGGGCGCGGTGGCGGGTGCCTGTAGTCCCAGCCACACTGGAGGCTGAGGCAGAATTGCTTGAACCCGGGAGGCGGAGCTTGCAGTGAGCCGAGATCGCGCCACTGCACTCCAGCCTGGGTGACAGAGTCAGACTCCGTCTCAAAACAAACAAACAAAAAAACAAAATACACAGTGAAAAAAACTGGGCTCCGGATTCCCAGAAAAGTTAAGACACAGAGAAGAGACAGAGCAAGAGAGAGGAGAGAAGAGGGAAGAAAAACAGAAAAGCCACCTCCCCCACCGCTGGTCTGCTTAAAGGCAGATGCATTTCCTAAAGATGAGGTAGTCTAAACCACTCTGCAGTTGACTATTACATAAGAATAAGTTTGTGTAAACACAGCCATGTGTCACTTTATGACGGGGACACACTCTGAGAAACGTGTCCTTAGGCCATTTTGTTGTCGTGGGAACTCATGTGAACCGACTCAGTGTGGCCAGTGCACACCCCAGCCATGTGGCTCACGGCTCCCCAATACATGTCTGCACAGCGTGTGGCTGTGCTGAACACCGTGGGTGACTGCCTCACGGTGGTCAGGGTTTGTGAATCTAAACACATCTAAACACGGAAAAGGTCCAGTAAAAATATGCTCTCATGATCTCATGAGAACCCTCATATGTGAAGTCCGCTGTTGACCCAAACCGTGGTGCAGGACTGCATTTGGCTCTGGAATCATTTGCAGATTTAGTAACACAGTGTGTGCACGGCTTAAAGCAAGAATGATTTACAAAATAAATATCATAATCCAGACAATTAAGATGATTGGTTTTGGTTGGAAATTTTCAGCATGAATTTGGCAGCTCTACAAATTTGTGTCTCTGGTTCAGACAAAAGAGCCCAAATGAGCAGGAAGGGAGCCTACACTGCTGCGGAGACGGGGCCGCTGCTGCCTATGCTCCACCCCACTCCACTCCACGTGCTTCCTTCCGGGGGATGACAGCCGGGGCAGCCGTGGGCAGGCGTGCTTCAGTGGGGGGTCTCTGACCAGCCTAGCCCTGGGAACTGCAACTTGCTTGCTGAAGCCCTGAGCTCAGGACTGAGAATAATTCCAACAACTTCAAAGTCATCTTCGACGTAAGCCAATTTTTTTAAAAAGTGACACTCAACGCAACCAAAAAAAAAAAAAAAAAAACTCCGGTGAAATTTGCATCCAACGTCTACCTGGTCTGGACGGTAACCGATGCTCACAGAGCCACGGTGTGTCTCTCTCTCTCTTTTTTTTTTTTTTTTTTTTTGAGATGGAGTCCCACTCTGTGGCCCAGGCTGGAGTTCACTGGTGCCATCTCGGCTCACTGCAGCCTCTGTGTCCCAGGTTCAAGCGATTCTCCTGCCTCAGCCTCCTGAGGAGCTGTGAGTACAGGTGCACACCACCACACCAGCTAATTTTTTGTATTTTTAGTAGAGATACAGTTTCACCATGTTGGCCAGGCTGGTCTCAAACTCCTGACCTCAGGTGATCCGCCCGCTTCAGCCTCCCAAAGTGCTGGGATTACAGGCGTGGGCCACCGCGCCCGGCCCACTGCGTGTATTTCTATAAGAATTTTTACAAAATGATGCATCTTAACAAAATGAGATACATAATCTGGTACTTTGTCTTTTCTTTTTCTTTTTCTCTTTTTACTTCTTAGAAACAAGGTCTCGCTCTGCTGCCTAGGCTAGAGGGCAATTCTCCAACTCCTGGGCTCAAGGGATCCTCCCACAGTGCTGGGGTTACAGGCACATGTCACCATACCTGGCCTTTTTATGAAAGAAAGATCACATTTTGAGCACTTTAGCATATTCAGAAACAATTTAATCACAGCAACCCATTTACCACAAGGACCATCCTCCCTGTACTGCCAGACTCTGCTGTTATAAACGTCGGTGACACGAACATCCACACAACCAACTCCCAGGCCACACCTC